AGGTCTCGAAACTTGTAGTCCCTATAGCTGTGAAGAACCCCAATATACGTCTCTCATGGTGACTGACGTAGGGCCAATTACAGATCAGCTGGGACAACCGAATTCCACGGTCCTGTGCGCAGTTCAAGTAGTAATGGCTTTCTGGTTTACCAAGGGTTGTTGTGCGTTAACGACGGAGAAGCAACGGAGGCAGTTGTGTTGAAGAAATGTGGTACAGGAATATCTACAAGACCAAGCAGTGACGTCGCCCAGCCAGAGACAATGGACGTCTGTCTACATATTTCATTTTTTAGAGTAGGATGATGTATATTTGTTTAGCTAGGATGTATTTTTTTTTTTCGTTAATAAAGTTGTTGCACACAGCTAGCTTGCTTTAGCAGTGTTGCAAAAACTTTATTTCGGGGAGAAGGGGAGATGTAACACTGTAAAAGTGTTTGGTTTAGTTTAATACATACATAGAGTACATGAGTCAGAGACAGGGATTAGAGAAGGCGCCAGTTTGTCCACCGGAAAGTCACACCTCAAAGCGTTAATGACCTCAAGTGACCTGAGGTCAAATCATGCGAATTTCACCTTGCTTCTACTAATCTCTTAATTGTAGTCTGGTAGCCTTCAAACATGCCGACGTTTAAGGAGTGGCTTGGTAGTGCCGGAGGCTATCTACTTGTGGGCGGAGTTAGTACTAGGGTCCCCAATATATACTGAGGGAGCATAGAGCATTAAGCATTAACAGACAGAACGGCAGTCAGCAGAGCAGAGGAGACGGCCCTAGCAGGGAGGCTGTCGGCCGGCAGGGCGGGAGTCTCTGTCAACTACAGACCCCCCCCCCCCTCTATCCAGCTATAGGCAGAGACACTTGTGAGTTGAGCAGTAAGGTGACTTGGTCGTGTTTACATATGTTGTGTGATGATCAGGGGCAGTCAAGTTGTAGGGTTCTCGAATTCTTGGATGATGACTCACTTTGCATATTAAACTGGAACATTTTAATTGAATTGCTAAATTATGATACTTCATGTGAAATATAATTATGAATTTATTATTTAAATTGTGTTTAACTTTGTTCCCTAGAGCTTTGAGTTGAGGTGAGAAAGCCTCTGTGGTTACTGGTTTCATGATATTAATAGAGTACATGTTTGGAGTTGATACATGGTAATAACATCTTTTGAGAATATTTTGATACAGACAAGTTCCATTCCTTGTCTTGTATGTAATGATCATGAATGGATGGTGGCAGCATTTCGTCTTCTACTTTCTACTCTTCTACTTCTACTATCGACTCTTCTCCTTCTACCTAACTACACCTCTCCCTCCACCCCTCTCTAAACTCTCACTTTCAACTAATGACCCTCCTCGCTCCTCCCACCTCCCTACCTCTCACCCCAAACCCTCACTAATTATTTCACTATTCATTTCTTTCCTTTCGCTTTCTCTTATACGTTTGTGGCAATGATTCTGTATTCTAGAGTTCTCTCTAGAGTTTCGGGTAACTGATCAAGTGACGGCGCCTTGTAGTCTTAGCACCTAGGTAGTCAAATACCTAGGTTACAAGGTGTTGAATGAGAGAGGTTGCCTTAGGAACTCTGGAGGTGCTCTAGAATAGTTAGCTAACTGGGGACGGGATAACGGACTAGAGAGAGCTGTTTCCCCCGGCCTCGTTAGTTAACTGGGGGGTGGAATAATGGACAAGATAGAGCTATTTCCCCCACCCCCCGTTACACCACAGGTGTTTCCCAGGGGCACCACAGGTGTTTCCCAGGGACACCACGGGTGTTTCCCAGGGACCCCACAGGTGTTTCCCAAGGACACAACAGGTGTTTCCCAGGGACCCCACAGGTGTTTCCCAGGGACACCACGGGTGTTTCCCAGGGACCCCACAGGTGTTTCCCAGGTACACCACGGGTGTTTCCCAGGGACACCCCGGGTGTTTCCCAGGGACACCACGGGTGTTTCCCAGGGACACCACAGATGTTTCCCAGGGACACCACGTGTGTTTCCCAGAGACACCACAGATGTTTCCCAGGGACACCATGGATGTTTCCCAGGGACACCACGGGTGTTTCCCAGGGACACCATGGATGTTTCCCAGGGACACCACGGGTGTTTCCCAGGGACACCATGGATGTTTCCCAGGGACACCACGGGTGTTTCCCAGGGACACCACGGGTGTTTCCCAGGGACACCACGGGTGTTTCCCAGGGACACCACGGGTGTTTCCCAGGGACACCACACGGGGTGTTTCCCAGGGACCCCCTTCCCCCCATCCCACCTCGTCATCACAAAACCAGTTTACTGCTCTGAATTGATCTGGTTTTTCAAGTCTTCTCGTTCTATTTTTATTATTATTATTATTATTATTATTATTATTATTATTATTATTATTATTATATTATTATTATTATTAAATAAATGTTTTAATAGTAATTATTATAAGTATTTGTTTAATAGTATTTGTAGCATATTAATTTGTTTCAAGTCCTGATTATTTTAAATCTATCAACAA